CCAGAGACGTATACGGCATCTCTACGTCACTCCTCCTCAGTCCAGATATGGTCACTTCCTGTTCACTGGTTGCAAATAAAACAAGATGGCGACGGCCACAATGCCGAACTCGAGGCTTCAAATCGTCCACAAACCACTGAGAGACGTCACAACGTCCTCTTCTTACACTCAGTCTTAAAAAGCTCTCTCCTGTTTTCCTGCAGAAAACGTCCCGGTGGAGCTCCGGGAGCCGCTCTACAAGGACCAGTATGAACAGGAGCACCTGAAGCCGGCCGTCTCCACGCTCCTCCTCTCGCCGGAGAGCTACTGCAGAGCTCAGGCACTGCTGGCTCAGGCGCACGGGGTCTCTCTGCCGGCGGCGCAGGGGCCCCCGGCGGACAACTCGGCTCTGCTGCAGCTCCTCATGAAGAAAGGTTTAACTCCGAAGGTCCAGGACGGAGACGTCACCAAGGACGACCTCAGCTTCATCCCCATCAAGACGGTGAGTCTGTGCTTCTTAGTGCCTCCGGCCCCTTTATTAAGTCTGTTATGTTATTATAGCCAATACCACCTTCAATGCTTCTCTGAAAGAAATACCACCTTTAATGCTTCTCTGAAAGAAATACCACCTGAATGTGATCAAAAAGATTGAAACGGAAAAATATGAATGAAAGTGAAAAAACGACTCAAAACAATTCCAGAATATTTATTATTATTTATTATTAATATAATTTATATATCAGAATTATATGTAAATTATATTATATATATCTATATTTAAATTATATTATAATATGAAATAATTTAATATAATATAACTTATTTTTTAGTTTGAATACATTTTTTTCAGGTTCAATTGTTTGTTTAAAATGCTTCTCTGTCCGTACAAGGGAAGGAGGAGTCGTAGAGGGAAAGGAACAAGGAAAGGAATGGAACAAAGGAGGGATGAGAGCAGGAAGAGAAGGAGGGAAGGTAGAAGAAATGTAGGAACGAGGAAGAAGGAAACAAAGTGATATTTAGCAGTTTTACCTCGTAAAGTAGAAAATATTCGTGTAAAAGATATAAGAACAAAGACTTCACAAATATGTATTAAAAATAAAAATAAAATAAATAAAAATTAAATAAATAAATGACATCAAATGAAATAAAATTATTATTTTTTTCAATAAATAAATAAAATAAAATAAGATAAAATACAAATAAATACAAATAAAATAAATATAAATAATATAAATAGAAATATAAAATAAATTCAAATTAAATAATTTTTTTTTTTCAATAAATAAAGAATTTACTAAATAAAATTAAATAAAATCGTAATTTTTGTCGTAGAGTTCATCTTTGCTGTCCTGGGTGAAATGTGTTGAGTTAAATCGCGTCGTCTTGCAGAAGGCCCACCTCGCCCTCATCGACGCCCTGATGACGCTGGCGGCCAGAGAGGCAGTGGGCAGCGTGACGATGGCGGCGGAGGCGGAGCAGACGGGCGTCGGGGCTCCGTGGGAGAACGCTCTGCTCTTCTGGGTCAACAGGGTGAGAACACCAAACCCACCCACAATCCTCTTTGTTTATGTAGTTTACCTACCCACAATCCTCTTTGTTTATGTAGTTTACCTACCCACAATCCTCTTTGTTTATGTAGTTTACCTACCCACAATCCCCTTTGTTTATGTAGTTTGATTAAAGGTTCACTGATTTTATTCACTCGACCCAGAAGCACTGGCGATAGAAAATGATCCCAACAAGTCATCACTTATCTGATGTTACCGAGCTTCAAGCTAACAAAACGTGCTAGCCAGCGTTAACGAAGATCATTATTAGAATTAAATAGGATTATTAAATCACCGCGTTAACTCACAGAAAAATAAACCTATCCTTCTCACTTCCTGTAGCTGAACCAGAAGTTGAGAGAAACCACAGACGAAGAAGAGCCCACCAAGTCTCAGACATGTACAGACCTGCAGACGGCTCAGGACACGGTAAAAACACACGCTAACACATGCTAACACACACATGCATGACGGTTTGTCTCTGAAGCTTCTAACATGGACTTCTCTGTTCTCTGTCATGCCTTGCTCACTGGCAGTGTCAATCCAACCGCTGGTACTGGAAGCTAGTCCCCGTAAGTGTCCATCTTCCTCTTCTTCCTCTCTGAGCTTGGTACATTCAGTCATCAGTTTCATCTCAAACGGAGGAGGAGGAGGAGGAGGAGGAGGAGGGAGGTGACATTACTTAATAACTGATAACTTTATTTATATAGCACCTTTAAAACAGTGCTTTTGATAAACAACAATAAAACAATAAATCGATACAATAAGAACAAACTCAGAAATTAAAATTAAAAACATAAAATATAAAACAATAGCAACACAATAAAATAAAAAATATATATAATAATGTTGAATAAAATGAAAAATAAATTCAAGATAAAAGATGAAATAAATAAATGAGTTGAAATGAAAAATTACAGTAAATACAAATTTCAAAAAATTGAATAAAGTGAAATAAAGTAAAGT